GAGCTAACCTTAGCAAATGAAATTCCACTGATGACCTCCTTAAACATTTTTAAAAATTGATCACTGTTTGCCATTTTAACAATTATCTTAAACAGGAAACCTGTAGGATCTATGAAATGTGAAAATGTATCTTAGCTGTTGACTGGAACTACTGCTAGAATGCCAAAAATGTTTAAATTCAGACCAATTTGTACCATTTATTTGTCTAGACAATGGTGGCTTCTCCCCATCTTTTCTCGCTTTTAAGTTGATTCCTCAAAGTTAGAATAACCAAAATCAGTACCAATTCTGAGTCTTTAAAAGGAATGAATACTGTTTCTTCGATTGATTTAAATTTATATCTAACATTTCAGCAGAAATACACAACACGTGAAATAAGAAGAATCGAGGAGAGGAATTAATTATGCAATATTAAACAATAAGTAATAGGAATAATGAAAGTCAGACAAAAACCACACACACCACATCTGCAAGCACAAGCAACCTTCTAAAAAGAAATTAGTTTGCTTTACTTTCATCACATACAGTCAGCATCACATAGTACGTATACACAAGGGCAAGTATGCTCCTGGTAGAAAATGAATTTGTTTATATGGGTACATGTTGGTTTTTTATAGCAGAGAGAATATTTGAATTAACCTCCAGAATGAAGACAAAGGGCATGCTCTGTTTAGCCTCAGAAAAGGTGTGCTCTGTTTAGCCTCTGAAAAGAATAGAAACTAACAAAACCTACCTGTAAAATTTACCTTTGTGCTACCCTGACAGAACAGGAACAGCTTTTAGGCCTTCTCCTTTTTTTTTTTTTTACGATGGCTATATCTCTTGTTGAATATACTCACGCCACTTCCAGTACTGATTTTGTAGCATTCCTTTTTGTAATATGAATATTACTGAGTAATATGGGCTAAGTGGATTTTTGTATTTCTCCATCTATTTGAATGCATCTGATACCTCGTATTTCAGTTGCAAGCTTTTCAGGACAGTGGCTGCCTTTATTCATGACGATCTGATAAGCCAGTATGTGAAAATCTTGGGGTGAATGCCAAAAAAGCTTTATTTAGAGAGAAAGGAAAAAAAAAATCCTAGGTAGTCTATTTATGTAAAAGATTACAAGAAAATACACATATTTTTTGTATTCATAGCTTACTCCAAAGTCAGTCACACAGCTGAGAAAAACATATTTCAGATTTAAACCACAGAATGATGCATGAATAGGTGCAGAAGAAAAAATTCTCCTAAGAAGTCTGGTTTCAATTTCAGGAACATGTTAGCAGGTGGCCCCAGGAACTGACTCAACCCAGAAAGCAGGAGTACATGGTCTCTGCAACTCCACTTCGGGCCACAAGATAGAGCCATTACACAGGCTCTGCAAGCTGGAGTCACGTACAAGCCTTGTACCCACCAAAGGTCTAGGACTACAGCTTTCAGGATGTAAGAAGAATGAAACACCACCCTAAAAACGTGGGACATAGATATTAGTAGAAAAAGAGGTAACAAAACTAAGATTTACCTCTGTCAGTCAAAAAAAGACAATATAACCTTCAATAGTTTTATTCTATTTTGATACACAAAGTTGTATGTCAATGATACATTGTACATGTACATTTACAATGTTACATTTACAATGATACATTGTAAACAATTCTGAAACTCAGTCTTTCGATATGGATTATTTTGCAAAGTATCATTTCATGCTTGCTCTATTCTAATACTTCTTCCCAGACAACTGCTTTTGGGATTGGGACATATAGCTCCTTGGTCTGACCTGGCACAGTCATTCCTCCATTTACTTCACAAATCAGACGAATTGCTCACTAAATGAACGTGCTCTTCCCAGCTACTGCACTGCATAATATAAGTGCAAGGATCAGGAACCATGGCTTAACTTCTGGCTTAAGCTGAGGTTTAATACTTTTTGTTTTCATTCTAGACATTCACAGCACTATGATATTTGAGTTTTTTAATAACAAAACTTGGCTAGTGGGAATGAAGAAAGCAGTAGCTTAGAGAGAGGGCCAGGAAGAAACAAGGTGGCTTTTTCTCCTCAAGTACCATTTAGTGTAATTACTGGGTTACCAACTACCTCTATGCAATATGGTGGCATAGATGGCATTGCCTCCAGACATACCTCTGTGGACTGCAGAGTACTGATAAAAAATTGTGTGCAGGACTGAACATAACAAGACTAGGCAATGAAAGGGAAAAAAAATCTGTTTGCAACTTGTTCCTATTTGATTAGAAAGTTAATTACAGAAGTATAAGCCATTTTTGGAGTAATTTTTCAAAGCACAGCTCAACTAGGCTCAAATACTTATTTTTCAGAATATACTTCTGGTATAGTAAAATACGTAGAAGGAACATTGCACGTTAAGATGCCCGAAAGCCATAGTATGTAGCAAATAATATCATAGTCCAGTGTTCTGTCATTTTTATACATACTACCCGAAATCAAATAAACTCACCATGATATTCCATGTCATAACTTAAACCTTAATGTCATCCATCTTTCAAATAAAGACACACCTCATATTTCCTTCTTCTGACTAATGTATTGCTGTACCATTGTCTCCCATAACTGCTTGGGTGAGGGTAAATTTTCAAGATTCTGTGAGGACCCCACAAGAACAAACTTATGCTCATTGTGATGAATGTAAAAGAAAACTACCAGTCCCAGTTACTGCATTCACTTCAAGCTTGAAATATATGACTTGTTTAAAAAAAAAAAAAAATGCAGGCATGCTATATGCTGATCCATGTAATTTTTGCAATTTGTTTGACATAGATTGTCCCTTTAAAATGAAAGACACTTCAAGCTGATTGAGAATTACCCTCTCCTCAGAGCAGATGTTGCTTTACATAGGAAGAAGAGCCAAACCAAATACAATGGAGTCCCGCTGAGTTTCCAATTCCATTTATAAAGATCGGCATGCAACTTTGCAAGCTCCCATCAGCAAGCAGTTTGGAGGAGAGCTGAGAACTTTGAGAAGCAAACCTGTAAGCTGATCCTGACCTGAAACTGCCAGTATCACTCTCAGTTAAAAATTTCCCTTCACCTGTAAAAGTGAATTTGTCTTAAAAGTACTTAGATCTGCTTTTTCTAAAGGTCTGCTAAAGCTCTTAAATAAATTCTATATGCTTTGCTTACAATCAAACAAGTCACAACTCATTTAGGACAATATTCAGACACTTAACAGCGTTTCCATTTGGTAAACATTTTCAACTTCCTACCTGCAGTGGCTCTGCTGCCAGAGCAGCTTATGGAGTCAAAATAACATTTCTTTTCCTTCTTCCTCTCCTCCTCTTCCTTCTTTGAACTTGCAACTGAATCATTTTGCTATATAAAGTTTCCAGTAAGCTGCTGTTCAGCTGGAAAGTAAGCCAAAAAGGTTCTCAAGCCCACACATACAAACTTAGAAAAAAGTTAGCACCTAGAAACTGGAATTAGAGAGGGAATTTAGTTATAACAACACGGTATTTTCTGGAGAATTGAAACTTTTCCAAGCATAGCTGTTGTTTTTTTCCAGTACTTTGCTCCATCATTCACTCCACTTTCTTTTCTTGATCTTTTGCTGAATGCCATGCTTGGGCTTTGGAGTTCTTTTTTCACTACTATGATCTGTTTCTTCCTCTCTCCCACATTGTTTTTGCTCTCTCACTCCAAGCACAAACTTATGTTCTTTCGGTCACATAATTCCTGATGCTTAGACATTTCTTCCATGCTCATTTCTTCTCTTCCATAAAAAGTGTGTCCAATCCTGAATTCTCCCATTCCATACTGCCTGTGAATATGGAAGTGCAAATTCCCCTCTTCTGGATGCATAAAAAACTAAGGCCAGCAATAAATATGTTTACAGGGAATTCTCCCACATCTGAGAGGTAAACAGCATTTGCTTCTGGTCTAGAAACTGCACTCTCTTGGAAGCCGCTGTTTATCCAACAGGGCCATGCACATTTCCTACATGTGAAACACACAAGACTCTCTCAAATTCATGATTTAAGTCTTTTTACTCTAACATTCCTCAAACTTTACAAAAGTGCAACCACCTTTCAGCTAATACATTTTTGTGCAACTCTTCAACTTGGCAGAAGCACAGAGTGACAGTCAGCTGGATTTCTTGGCTGCAGGTATAAACATCCACTCCCCTCCCCCGAAGGAAGAAACTGCTGCCAGCAATGGGAGGCAATTCACAGCTCCCTAGTGAATAGCAAACGCTGCCAACAGGTCTTTCTTTCTCCCCACCCTGACAGAACTGAGCTGCTGCCAATTAATGTTGCATTTTCCTACACTTTGCAATCCCTTTGAACCTTTTCATGATTTCAGAGAAAACAGTTTTGTTTCCATGTAAACGTATTCACCGCAAATCCTAGTCACAAAAGAAGGACTGATAGTTGTAGCAGAAGCCCCCAGACAAGAGGCCATCGCTGATTTGCATCTATTACTTGAAAAATGTAGCATATATAACCAATTTGTACAAAAGCCAAGAAGAATCCAAGTGTAATGGAAAAGCAATCACAGAGACTAAGAAATGAAGTGCACATAAGATAAACTGCATTTAAAAATTCCATGGACTGGAGATTGTACTGCTTTTCATGTTACTGCCTGTATTACTACAAGCTATCTTAAATGGACTGCTATTCGGTGCTCAGGGTATACTTATATTATACAGAAAGTATTAATTCTGATCTACTAGTTACTTCTTTAGAAGTAGGGTAGATTAGAAGTAAGCAGTAGGCATAAACACAACATCTGATGGCAAGAAACAATTCAGATCCAAGGCAAAGGGACTGAAGGTTATCAACCTCAGCATTAATGAGACTCTGCTACAAAAGGAAATTACCCAATTAAGTTTTCATCTGTCCGTAAACGCAGCAAGGCACATAGAGAAGAACACGCTCACACTAGTCAAAAATATCCTCGCAACTGCTTGAATAACTGCATAAAAAATGGAATAAAAAAATTCTCATGGATGCCATCTTTATGTGATAAGTTAAAAACTCACAAAATCAGCTTCAAGTTTTCCCATTTCTTGCTTGTAGCTTCTCATACGACTGCTATACATTCCCCGGCTTTGAGGTGGGATCTCTCGGACTTCAAGCTCCATCTGCTCAAGCTAGCAAGTAAAAATAAGGAAGATACACATATGTCAAAATGATAATTAAGGTAAAGATCAATTTACGTAAGTTGTTCGCAAATACCAACAAATAGTCTTTGTTTATCAAGAACACTGTTGTTTAACCTGTTGTGTAGAAATGTTATCAAAGGTTATCAAATAAAATGTATCAGGGTGTGTGTGTATATATATATATAGTTGATATCCTATCAAATATACAAATGACACAATAATATGAATGATTCAGAATGAATGATTCTGGACAAACTTTTCTGAATTTCAATTTCAAACACTGATGAATAATTTTTTTTTTTTTTTTTTTACAAGAAGCCAGAGAAACTGAAGTTAAATAACTTTCTGCAAATTAGCATAATTGAGGAGACAGCCCACCTCCTTCTAGGTGGGTGCTTTTGGAAACCTCTAGGTGAAAAAGATACACACATATATTTTTTTAACGTGTATCTATATAGATTTTTATATATTATATATATATATAATGCATCTATATAGATTTATATAGAAAGATATCACACAGCAAATATTGCATATATCACCAGCCTCAATGTATAATAAAATAATTCTTGTTCTACTGAAAAATACTTATTCAGTAGAATTAAGTAACCAGCACTTTCTGAACTGGTTGCCTAAATCTGTACTCCAAATCTATATTCAGGCATACTAAATAAAAGAATTATAGGGCTGTAATAAAAAGACTGTTGAAAAACTGGTGTACAGTTATATACGTAAAACTTCAGAGACAGAATATATCTTTAACGCCTTCTATTTATTTTTGCCACGCAGACGCAAAGGTGCCTTAAACTCACAAACATAGCAAAGAGTCGCAGAAAATCAGGAGGAGTTAAAAGCCAGGGCGAATCTGCCTGCTACCTGCCCACTAGGTCATGGAGCCTCCTGAAGAGAGCGCTGTTCGTTTAGGGATCCTGTTTTGCACAGCAGAAGAAGCCCTTATCTGCATTTTAAAATCTGACTTTACTTTAAAAGGAACAGAAATACCTTTCAATTAGGGTCCCAAACCACCAGTTACAGGTCTTCACAAAGGACAGCTACAGCTTATTACTAGGCAATTACTTGCTTACACTTTAAAATTTCAGCCTCATGCCAGAAGAAAAGCATCTGAATTCAATCAATGAAATCGCCAGATACTGAAATAAAAGTCATTCAGTCTGATCTATTCTGATTATATACAGGATGGTATTTAATGTCATTAACTGCAAAGGAGAGTTTAATTAAATAGTCAGTAATGAACTGAAATATGCTAAACTAATTCTAATTCTACCCAGGTTTTTTTCTCAGACTTAACTTTCCAAAGCAGCTTTCATAAACGAAGCTGATAGCTGGAGTTAATGGCTTATTTCTTATCTACCTCATTTCAATATATTTGATCTCAAATGTTTCCATAAACATAGAAAATATTCCTCTTACATATACAGAATTATATGTGCAAGGTCAGAATATTGTAATGAAGTCCTAATTCTTTTCTATTATATAAAAATGAAATTATCTTCCATACGAATACAGAATTCATATCAAGGATCAGATCACAGTCAATGAAATCCAGAATTTTCACTCTAAAGGGTCAGTATCAGAGACTGTACGGGCAAATGAAAGTGTTCATAATGTACTTAGAAACATTACAGGCAATGATGAAGAACCCGTGTCCGGGCTGAACAAAATTTAACACTTTTTTGTCATCATGAGATTAAATAGGTATGTTTCGTGCCTGGGCTAAAAATAAATAAAATTTAATAAAATTTATCCCATGCCTGGGATAAATTCCCATGCCATGTTATACAGAAAAGAGTGGTTCAGGCAGATGTCAACCTAACTGCAACCTCACTTCCTGCATCTTCACTTTCAGATCTCATACTATTGGTCATAAAATTGCATTTTTTTCATACGCAAGGAAGAAGAATGCAGCTAGATTCTACAAAGAGCTAGAAAAACCCTGGCACTTTAATCTTGAAACATCTGCAGAAGCCGAAGTCTTCTTCAGAAAATCTAAATGCCCAAAGTTCTGTTATTGCTTATATTCAAACATGTCGCCACTATGATGAAGCTGAGCATGTTGGCATGCAACTCCCACACAGATTCAAAAACTAGGCCCCATCCTTAAGTCTCCTCAGGGGTTTAACCTAGTAGAATTGCCCCTGACAACACCCAATACACTCCCAGCACTGAGTACAGCAAAAGCAGAGCAGCCACAGGTATACAACAGGGTGAGGTAGTGCCGATGTTGTCCGTTGAGACTCCGAAATAATTCTCCCTCTCCCACAGGAACATTTCTACATGTAAATTGGTCTGGACTACAACTGCATTGCATCCGGAGGATTAAGGATGTCTTACATAATATTTCAAGGTCTTTCAAATTCTACCGCTGAATATTGGTAACTAGTCATCAGTATTCTCAATGTCCTGGTTTGGCTGACAAAGACTCAGTTGTGATCCACATTCCTTCAGAAGAAACCCACATTGCATCCTCTGTGAATCTAAGAAGAAACTTTTTCACGATGAGGGCAGTTAAGCAATGGGACAGGCGGTCCAGTCCAATAGGACTGGAAAAAGCCCTGAGCCACCCAGCCTGACCTCACAGGTGACTCCTACTCTTTGAGCGGAAAGTTGGACTAGAGACCTCCTGAGGTCCCTTCCAACTTGAATTATCCTATGATCCCCTATACTATGCAAACCAAAACCTCTCTTTTGTTGACATTAATCCGGTCTCATTAATGCATGAAGACTTACATAGGTATCCCACTATCCTTGCTCTTCAAGCTGTCATGAACAATAGGCCGCTCCATTATGGCATTTACTCTAGGACAAAAACATTTTTCTATCAGAACCCATCCGGTCTCCACGATAGCAAAGTTTTGTTCTCTCTCCACAAAGATGTTGGTTTTTTACCTGTGGAAAAACTATTAAAAAAAGGGGATAGCCAACTGCCCAACTAGTGGCAGTCTCAAACATGTTTGGGCAAAGCTGATAACATTTTCCGAAACATGTGAGCTTCGCTATTTTAGGCAGATTCTAAAGTCCTTGGGCTAAGAGAGAGCTACATTAAAAACAAAACAAAACAAAAAAACAAGTGCTTAAATAAGAAAAACCCTAGGCATTTGCAACACTTTAAATTTAAATTGCTACAACAATTTTGTGATGTGCCCTTCATAAACATAAAGGCAGGTAATCCATGGCCAGATTTTCTTCTTAAAAACAGAACTTCACTTAAAAATGTTAATTCCAGCTCTTCTAGCACATTCTAGGTTTTATACTTCAAAGTATTTCTCTAAGCTTATGACAACATTCATCTTCCTTAAAAACATAGCGTAAAACAAAACAAAACAAAAAAATCTCACACAGGTACTACTGCATGGCATACAAGAACGACAGGATTTCTCTCCAGAGATCTCTTACTCAACATTAACGGCTTGAAAAGGCAACCTGGAAGTCTGAAAAGGTTTTGGTGTCAGCTCTGCATACATTAGTTCAATTAGATTAGTGATTTTACCCAAAGACAACAGTATTTTAAAACAAGCAATGGCTAGCCAATGCAAATATCAATAGTCAATACTTCTACGATAGTATTTATAATACATGAGAGAGTTATTTCCTAACCAAGTAGGAAATAATAACAAAATCAGCTAATCCCAGCAACAATGCTTCAAGCAAGCCAGCCCATACTTGAAAACTATCAGTGGCAAGGAATTAGGCTTGTTTTGGTTTTCTGCTGCAGCCCTTAGTTTAAAAAGGGATCTTTTAATCAGTTCTGTTATTAGTAGGTTTGTTCAAATTGATTTTTAAAGCCAAGCCTTGACATCAATCATTAACATGTTAGGTAATTGCTTAAAGCCAATAATTGCATTAAGTGCCTGTCTAGTAGTGTTAGCAACAAGATCTAAAACAAAAGCATGAAGAAAAGTCAGTACATTAAATGAAGTTCATCATTAGAATGAAAATGCTGAAGCAGGATTTACTTTCTAATCTTATAATAAATACAAATTAAATGATCTTTTTCTGACATAAGAAGAGAAGTAATGAGCCATTAACTCAATTTCTGCTCCTTCCAATTTTACTTAGAACAAAAAAACAAATCTGAATGATTCTTCATCAGAACACCCATGCTGCAATTTCCCTGTACTGCCACCTTTTTTTTTTATTGTCAAGTGGCCATAAAAAGGAGAAGAAAAAGCCTTTCTATATTTTTATTTTCCTCCATATATTTGAAAATGGAAGTGCCTCAAAGCCTTAATGTATCATCAGAACATCCTCAAGAGGTGGGACAGTAATGTTATCATATTTCTCACTGAATACTGAGTCAGAAAGCTTAGGCACCTTGCCAAGCTCTCTGAGGCATCCTGCAGTGGAGTCATCCTGAGATTCTGCTCTCCAGTGCTCTGTCTACAAGCCTAAACTGAATTGAATTGAATTCTTAAAGCAAAAGCACTGGGTATGTCCACAAACACACTAGAGGCCTTTTTCTTCCTATGCCACAAACTTTATAAAAAAAAAAAAAAAAGTGTCAATATTATTGTTTAGTCAGTAATCAAATCATTGATTCAAGTTGCTCAGTTTTAAAAATTTTAAAAGCTTCCAGACTAGGAGCACTAATTTAATTTCCCTGTCCCACCGTTTAGATAACATTTCTGACATTATATAGATCAAACTCCTTTCTGTGTAATAAACAAGGAACTTCAGATACAGGACTATTGGCTATGTGGAAAAAAGTCAATTTTTACTGTGACTAAACACCCTTGCTCAGTCAGTCCACATCTATAAAACTTTACTTTGTACTCCAGATTAAGTACGTGACAGTTTGTAATGGGTACAAAATAGAAAAAGCCTCAAATGCTTAATGTATATTGCTTTTCTTCTGTCACCGCAGGCCACTAACTAATGCTTGGTTAATATATATACATCTTCTTAAATCAATATCCCACACTATCATCACCCCCTTGACCTCAAATGGCTAAATATCTTTATGGCTCAGTTTACTCACTTGTTAACAATGGAAAAAAAACCAATCTATTACTCTACAAGACAATTAGACAGATTAAATCAAATACATAGTGGATACTATGAGAAAAAACACTCCAGGTGCATAAATATTGAATGCAAATCCTAAAACAAAAAAACTAGTCCACAGTTCAAAGCCTGTAGCAGCCTGCAAGAGTTTGCAGTACTAATACAAACCTTAAATTACTTAACCCAGGGGGAATACATCAAATATTTTAACCTCATGTATTTCATATTCTAAAATATTAACATAGTATTTCTAGGGCACTGTGTATGCTAAATGTTACCATTAATGATACTATTATTTTGCCCAGGAATTGGCAGTTAACATATGAAAAGCCATGACATACCAGTTCTCTTGCCTCTTCTAGCTGTTTCTCAACATTTGCAACCATCTGCTTCTTCTCATCTGAAACAGAATTAGGAAGATACCAATATAATTGTGCTCTTGCCATGAAAGAAAAAATACACCATTTCAAAATAAGCTTATATGTATCAGTTAAAGCTGACTCAAGGGATTTATTCTGTGCGACGTTAGCATGCACTACGATACCAATATTAGATTTTTTTTTTTAGTTGAGATCAGCGGATGCTTGAAATCTTTGGCTTTGTTATTCAGGAGTCTGCTAATTAGGAAAGCAGTTACGGTTGCTCAGATTGTGAGAGTTTGGCCTCAGCAGTAACAGGCTAGGTGTGTACAATAACATAGGTTATGTCAAATGGAAAAAACACTCATCTTTTAAAATATAAAGATTTATTATATTTATTTGCATAAAATCAAACATTCTACTTTTCTGCTTGTAATGAATCCAGACATTGGAGAAAAACAAGGTCTCTATTCCTGTCCTTTATTCTCTGTCTAGACCCATGGGCCTTTTGCTTCAAAAAAAAAAAAAAAAAGACAAAATGAAATGCCACAGGAACTCCAAAAAAAAATTGCTCCTAATAACAGTAAACATGTAAACTAGTATTAAAAAGTAAAAAGAAAAAAAAAAGTTAAAGTCAGTTATGAGCTATATGTACCAAGCATCATCTTCAGAGTTGAATTTTCCAGGTTCCTCAAAAAGTCTATAGCCCAGCTTTTCCCCAGGTACAAGACTCCAGGCAGAGAACACATCTGACTTTCGACCTGTCTCTAACCATCCATTCTCAGGCAGAGAGTACAATATGAAAAAAGAACTGAGATTCAGTGCTGTATCTGCCAAATATTCCAATTTGCTTCACCACTTAGCTTATTATAGCATTAAAGGGGACTTTCTGAGGAGCATTCAGTCATTAAGTAATTAAAAAGTCCCCCAAGTGCTGAACTACTAGGGGCATTCAGGAGCTGCAATACTGCCATTTGCACTGCTTTATGCCTCTTGCATGACCACAAAGCTCCTCTTCCATCCCTCCCATTGGAAATCCACTCATAGCCTCAATAAAGTCAACAAAACTCTAAGATGCTACCCTTTATGCCAATGCTCATTTGAAATCACCAGTAGAGATATCGCATGATATTACTGATTTGCCTAATGAAGCAGATAAAAAAAAATGCACTAGTAATAGAGTTACTCCAGTTATTACTTCCTAGAGATGACGAGGGACAAGTCTACAAGTGGCACAAGAGACTTTACTGTATATCTTCAGGCTTCAGGATTTTTTAGCCTGAATTGCTTTGCTTCTCTTCCATGTGATCGCTTTGCATCCTTGTATTCAGTGTTTAAAGACCAAAAGGGACTACTTGATGATCTCCTCTGAATCTCTGCACATCACAGACCACTAAATTTTTCCCATGGACCCCTTTATGTCTAATCTTTCACGGGCTGAATTGCTTTAGTTTTAAGTAAACTGAGTGCCTTAGGCAGAAATCAGGGGATGCCAAGGTAGCAACCAAAGTTAGAAACTCCTGCCACACAAGGTGAAACATGCCCTAGAACTAACCTTCCTTAAAAGCAACAAAGCTACTTCATAAATATGATATTGCTGCAGAGTTTTTGGTGAAGTATCCCCACTACTAGCGGGCTGCATTTCAGCTGAATCATCCTATTGCTATTCTACACTATCCTGAACTACATTTGGACAGGCCTATCCATCTATCTTTTGCTTCTCCATTGTTATCCTCTCATGACCTGACACTCATTTAAGGAGAAGCTAATATGATCTGTCCTTCTGCAGTCACATACATTGAAGCTCTGCTCGTAGAGAGGATCAGGTTCAGGATCATCTTTCCACCTCTAACAAAACACAGATCTTTGCAAACAACCAGCAACACAAGGACTAGAAAGATGATCCTCTGAGGATACACCATGCTGCACACAGCAGATTCACAAGAACATGTCTACGTTGGATTATTACCCAAGAAGTTGCTATAGTGTTGCAGAATATGTGACAATTCACTTAAAGTCCAAAAATGAGACTCTTATCTGAGGAAAATTCCTTTCAGAGAAACACAGGTTCTCAAAAGATATATTACAGCCAGAGTCAGCAGAGACTGCTTCAGAGGTTAGACTGGATAAGCCACTGCTCCAGTGCTGACGAAGCTCACCTAGCACCAAGACAGCCCCAGGCCCTGACTCCACCATATTCTATATGTGCAAAGCATACGTTTTTGGGTGACAGCAGTGAAAACTGAATGATTATGTCTGGTAAATATAGCTAGAGTAAAATATTGGAAAAGACTGGAATACTCTGTCAACGACACAAGTGGGGATGAACCACTAGAATCCTCCCATAAATAAAAGGTTAGAACTCAACCCAGAACCGTCCCCAAACACTGTGCCCTTCATAGCCTTCAAAGAGGCCCAGAAGTTGATCAAGGAATCCTTTATACAGAGGAGAAGGCATGGAAGTGACCACCTTTCTTGCAAATCCTGAATGCCCTCTGCCACATCTGGTAGATGGTACTACAGCAGAAGATAGATTGCTCATTTCCCATGCAGCACTTCTAATTCTCCACTAACTTTGCTTTCTTCTATTCCCTACCAGGTACTCAGGATGGCACTCAAGCCAGAAAAATCTAATGGTTAAAATTAACCCTCCCCCTCCCTGGGAGGGAAAAAAAAAAAAAAAAAAAAAAAAGCATTTGCCACTCCCATGCCCACATATTTCAATTCCCCTCCCCAGCATCCCAAAACAGCACTGTTCCTCCCTTCATTTGGAAGTGGGCAAGATAATAATGATGTACCAAAGGAAAAACAATTTAAGAGATAAAATACATAATGTCATTTTATTGCAGCTGAAACAGGATCCAGAATATAGCAGCAGAAAATAAATGTACTATAGTAATTTCAATATTCTCTCAAGTTTTACTGAATTACAATTTTCATATACATAATATATGTTTGTGATTACAAAAGCTACTTAGTACTTTACTGAACATGGAGTTACCTTACTGCTGAACTCATTACAGCCCATTACAGTCCATCACTGCATTTTGCATGTGCAAAATTATTTGCTCCATAGTAGTTTTTCACACTAGTCATGCAGACTATTTGTTGCAGGAAAGAAAAACGCCCATGGGATTGCTATCAGTGTGTTTCCAGTATTAACTTTCCAGTTGTCTCCACTGTTTGGACAATAGTGATGTTTTCCTTTGCTTGTACACAAACCCTGCATGTAACCTATAACATAATATTGATCAGTCCTTGAACTCCAGACCTATAACAAGATCCAGGTTCTCTTTTTCCAGTCTTACAAAGGAGACATTCAAATTATCTTCAGCATTTTGGTCAATATCAAACTGTAACCTAACTTCAGAGCGGCATTTTAATATCATCTCAGACTTATCACCACATAATCACCTAGCTGCTGACCAGAGCAATTGCAGGGAGAGAGGCCATCTGAAAGCAACGGCTATACTATTCCTTCAAACATGGAAGTGTGAGTTAGCACATGGTCACACTCGGCACCACAGCTTGGGGACAAGATCTGCACAGATTTCCAGGAAAGCTGCTGAATTTACATTGCAACTGCTTACCTTCTCAAGGATGTGACACCATACGATACCCAGGACAACAAGGGGCAGCAGGATTGAGGAGGGTCACAAGGAGTAAAGCAAGCTCACAAAAGTATCGTAAAGAGTACTCATTGGGTTTCCCTTCAGCAGCCTCCGTATAACCCCTGACGGAAATACGCTGTCTGGAGCCACTTGCCTGCAGGGCTGCTGTTGATATCAGTAACAGAAGCATAAAATGCTATGTTGTCAATCAGACCCACGCTTGCGGGAATGCTTTTCAAATTGTTTAGTGTCAGCAAGATACCCTTGCCTTGCTGCCACGGTTATGCTATGGAAACAACCATATCTCCTTTGCAGTCAGAATCTGCACAGAAAGGACGGCACAAGACAACTTGCTCAGAGTCTGCAGGTAAGAGCAGAGGTAGTTAGTGTAAGAGAAGCTTGTCACTAATCTAGTAGATCAGGACAAACAAGCTATGCTCCAACTAAAGATCGTCAAATTACAAAGTAATGTCTTCCATTGTGTCTTACTCAGTGATTTTCAATCCGTCTACCCGATCATTTTCTAAAAACACTTCTACCACACGGATTATTGAAAAGTTTTTACAACTACTTTTCTCTAAACAGTAAACACTTATCAGCTCTGAATTTAAAAAAATAATAATAATCAAAACTATCTGAATTCAGAAGAGGATTCTTCTCTCCACACTACCAGAAAGCATATCGAGAAGAAAATACTGCATTTAGCCAATGGTCAAATTGATAGAATACGGATAAATATAAAGACAAGGAAGAAAAGTGAATTTTCTTTCTGAGTAAAGACTACAAAGAAACCTATTCCCTTTTGGTATTCCAAGTTTCACTTGCTTAAATGAAACAAGCTTTTACTACATTTTCCTCAGTTCTTTCAGCTTTCCCCTTGCATTCATTGCTCTTTTAACCCCCAAAATACAGCAGAGCTACAGAAAGGCAGCTGTCTGCCTATAGGAAGATATCAAAGCACTGGTCTGAGCTCATAAACAACCGAGAAGCAAACAACAACAAAAATGGACCAAGATCAATTAGCTTCATTGCTCCTGGAATTTCTACTTTTTATTAGCATTGGCTGCAACAATTTAGAGCCTAATATATTTAAGAAAAAGCTGAGAAAAATTAATTTTTGAGTGATGTATGGGGTTATAAAATTGGGTAGCAGGGGCACATCACAATGAGTCAGCTGTAAAACGAAAACAGTAAACTCCTGTACAGAGGTACAATGGAAAATTAAAGGTAGGACTTTCTCAGCTAAATCTGTTGGATACAGTGGAATAGAGTGCTTTGATTGCCCAACAGAAGATGCAAGTATCAGCATCAAAAGACAAAGTGTTGTAATCTAAGAACTTCAGCTCCCAGAGGCTGCAGTACTGGGAAAAGGCTAAACATCCCCATTTGTGCTGGGAACATTCTCTTTCAGCTCAAGCAATCACATTTTATACGTATTTTTGGTCACATCACGAGATGAAGATACTTCTCTACAACACCAAGGAACATTAATAAAACACATAGAGCCAGTGATCTTCACTTTCCAGAGACCTGCAAGAACAGTGCAGAATACCTATTTAAAAGCCATTTCTCAATTTAGAACACTTTCTTTAATTCTCCGGATGATGTCTGCCTTCGCAGAAGATATTTCTTCCAAAGGCGGTCTATTGCCCTTATTGCTTATTGTTTTTGCAGTATCAGAGTGCCTTTGTTATGTTTCTTGCTGAACTATTTATATATTGTGACAATAGGATTGTTTGTTGAGCCATCATCCTCCTAGAACACACGATAGCGTCAATTCCTGACAACACCAAACACATGAATGCTGGAAAAACAATCAGCCAGTATCTCTCCAATTCAACTGAACATGAAGCTTACAGCAGGTCCATCTTGGGTAGCAGAAGGAATTAAATCAGGCACTAGACTTCAGGAGATCTCTTTGTCTTATGCAGAAGTAGCACAAGTTCTTACACCTTTCATCTTGCTTCTTCCAGGTTCGGGGAAGAAGGCCATCAGCACTCTCTCTCAAGTCACTGCTGCTGAAAAATGCCACCACAAGTGCATGTCTCCTCATGTCCCCCTCCCACTTTGAATCATATCCTCTTTTTGAGGAACTCCCAGCCATCTCCACAAGAACTAACTGGAACTTCTGGTGATGAAGAGCAAAGATCTTGCAAATATTCCTATTA